CCAGGTCACTCTTATTCACTCCCAAATGGCCCTGGCTGACAAGGAGCTCCTGCCCTGTGTCCGGCAGGAGGCGAAGGAGATCCTGCTCCAGAAAGGCGTGCAGCTGCTGCTGAGTACGTGCCGTTCCCCTTGCCCTGCCCTCTCCCTGGCCCAGGGAGACTGGGCTCGAGGCTTGGTCACTGCCCCCAGCTAGAGGGTGGCCACCGTCTCTGAGTCCTGGGGTTGAGCATCGAAGCCCATTTGAGCCCTGATGTCCAGCCGGAGGTTGTGTCTGCCCTCGGCAGGGCACAGGCCCTCGTACTTACGGGATTTCATGTCACGGACCAGCACTGTCCTGGCTATTGGTTTGGACAAAGTGCAGATGGTACCTATTTGTTGAATGATTTTAAAAAAACCATCTAAGGATTTGACCTGAATTATGATGTCTCTGTGGTGGAGAGAATAGGTTTTTTGGTTTGTATCTTGAGGGTGGTGAGGAGTGTGGCTTTTGTCCAGAGCAAGAGGGAAGAGAACCACCCAGCAGCTAGCGAGTGGGGCTCTAACCCCAGGGGTGTCCTCCACAAATCGTGGGGCTCAGCCTCTTTGTTTTCTTCAGGGAGGGGGGTGTCTGCTCTATGAAGCCCAGGCTGGCTCTTGTCTCCTTGCTCCTGGCAGTACTGTGATCACCTCTACTTTTAGGTAGTGGCTTCACCTTTGTCGGTGTGTCTGAGGGCCTGTGCTGCCTGAGCAGGGTGGCACAGCTCACAGTCGGGGAGGCATGTTGGAGGTCTTCCTCAAATAGCTTTTCCCAGAACTTGGGAAACTCGGCCTCAAATTGCTTCTTGGCACTTTCCTCCCATCGTATCCCTTGGGGCCTGGTGTCCAGATTGTGCTTGTGGGGGTAGCAGGTGGACTGGGAGAGGAGCAGGGCGGGAAGGGGGAGTGGAATCATTGCCTACTTGGGCCACAGCATCCAGGCCTTTCCTGGGGCCTTCAGGGGTCTCCAGACTTCCCCGGGTCAGCTTTGGCGTGGACCAGCCTTGTCCACCCTCTGCCAGCCTCCTGGTCACAGACCTCCCTTGACAGGTGAGCGGGTGAGCAACATGGCGGAGTTGCCTTTCAATGAGTATCGCGAGTGCATCAGTGTGCAGACGGACAAAGGCACTGAGGTGGCCACCAACCTGGTGATTGTCTGCAACGGTATCAAGATCAACAGCTTTGCCTACCACCGTGCCTTTGGTAAGCAGGTGGCAGAGCCACTGTCCACTCCTCAGGTTGCCTCCTCACTGCCCAGCGTCCAAGGCGCCTCAGGCCTTTCCCCCGGGAATCGGCACCCCCTCCCTACCTTTCCCCTCCATCCCAGCAGCTCTTTTCTCTCATCTGAATGGTGGCATCAAACTTTAAATTTAAGTTCAGGTTCACTCTTGCTGTCCTTTCCTCAGCTGTGATAATGATGACTTAGCCCAAGATGTGCAAGGTGACGAGACTTTTCCAAAATCGGGGCCCGCCCCCAAGCAGCAAGAGATGAGAACAGGTTTCAGAGAGCTGAAAAGATCTGCTTTCTGTTCCTGTCCTTGGATCACGGATGCAGAGGAAATCCTGGGGTCAGGCCTTTCTCTCTTCCCAGGTGTGCTGCTCTCCCCAAACCCTGACCATTTGGGGAGCGGGGGCAATATTGTGGCTTCGTGTCCTTAGAGCTCAATATTGGACCATCGAGCTGACGGAAACATGGAGCAGGTGGACTCCTGCCTCCATGTGTGAATGGAGACTCAGTGGCTCCTTGTCAGGCCCCATGCTGCTGTGTCCTCAGGTTCCCCTCATGTATGCCTGAGTCCCATTCCTGCCCGGGGAGCTCCTCCTCTGTGCCTGCAGGGAAGACTTATCCCATCCCAGAGGAAGGAAGCTAGTCCAGGCCAGGCATGTGGGTGGAACTGAGGGTTAATGGACAGAGAGCCCAAAACTTAACACCCAATTGTCCTAATGATATATTTCAAAGATAAACTTTTAAGTCCCTTAAAATGAAAAGTTTATCATTTATTAAAGCCTTGTATTTATTTTAAAAATCTGATCCACATTCAAAAGAAAATTCAAGACTTGACCAAGTTGTGAACGTAAGCACTGTGTTAACCATGGTAACGTACAGAGTCACGCACAGCACAGAAAATGACCCTTGCTGCCTTTCTGACCAGTTTCCATGCTGGAGTGGTACCCTTGCCTCTGCAGGAGGAGTTCTGAGGGGGTACGGGGGGGCTTCAAGCAGAAATAAACTGGGTGGGCGGCTCGCCACCGGAGATTGTGCCTCTTGCGGTGGCTTGACCGGCACCAGAGCTCATCTTCTCTGTGCTCTGGGGGCCACTTAACATGGCAGCTTAGGGTTTTGGTTTCCTGTTGGTTTTGCCTGGCAGATAGTGTACTGGCCAGCAATGGTGCCCTGAAGGTGAACGAGTACCTCCAGGTGGAGGGCTACAGCCACATCTACGCCATCGGCGACTGTGCCGACGTGAAGGAGCCCAAGATGGCCTATCATGCTGGCCTCCACGCCAACATCGCCGTGGCCAATATCGTCAACTCCATGAAACAGAGGCCCTTCAAGGCCTATAAACCAGGTGAGGGAGTCCCATGTGCTTCACAGTTTTTTAAAAAAAATATTTTTATTGATTTCAGAGAGGAAGGGAGAGGGAGAGATAGAAACATCAACGAGAGAGAATCATTGATTGGCTGCCTCCTGCACGCCCCCTACTGGGGATCGAGCCCGCAACCCAGGCATGTGCCCTTGACTGGAATCATACCTGGGACCCTTCAGTTCACAGGCCCACGCTCTATCCACTGAACCAAACCAGCCAGGGCAACTTTTGCTTCACAGTTTTAAGAGAGTAGGGGTTAGACATGGTGAAAGTCTTTGAGATGAATGACCACTAGTACCAACTTTAAAAAAAAAATTTTTTTTTATTAATTATGGGAGAGGGAGAGAGAGAAAGAAACATCAATATGAGAGCAAAACATCGATTGGCTGCCTCCTGCACTCACCCTACCAGGCACTGAGCCCGAAAGCCCAGCAAGTACCCTGACCAGGAATTGAACAGGCAACCTTTCGGTGCACAAGGCGACGTCCAACCCCAACGGCCAGGGCTAGGACAAACTTTTAAAGCCGGAGACAGAAACGCTCCCTAGAACGCTTTAATAATTTGTAATTAATAAATAAATCTGGGACTTGCCCGCCACAGATGGTGAGCAGGACTCTGGCTTGTGCTTCTCCCCACAGGTGCGCTGACGTTCCTCTTGGCCATGGGGAGAAATGACGGCGTGGGCCAGATCAGCGGCTTCTATGTGGGGCGCTTCATGGTTCGGCTGGCCAAGAGCCGGGACCTGTTCGTCTCCACGAGCTGGAAAACCATGCGGCAGTCTCCACCCTGAGGAGGAGGCTGGGCGGGAGACGAGGTACCACCGACACCTGGGAACGGATTGCCTGACAAGTGGTACCCGCCTGACAGCTGTCAAAGGGCACTCTTTCTGGAGTAAGATGCCACTGATGTACTCATCAGAAACACAACTTACAGAAAAGCAAAAATGGAGAGGAGAGAGAGAGAGAAGGAGAGGGAGAGAGAGAGAGAGAGAGAGAGAGAGAGAGAGAGAAGGAGAGAGCGAGAGAGAAAGAGACTAAAAAGACACCCCCTAGAGGATTCTTTCTGGGTTTGGCAAGGCCGAATGCTTCACTGGGTCCTGGGAGTGCGAAGCCAGCCTTCTGCGCGCGTAACAGGCTCCCCTTGGATGTGTGTGCATGTGCGGGCGCTGGGTCTCCTGAGGGCTGGCTTCCTGTCTGCAGGGCAGGAAGGAGGACCTGCCAAGTGAGACCAGCTAAGGAAGGGGGTCTGTACCCGTCTTGCCTGTCATTCAGAGGGTGGGGAAGCCCACACATCCTGCAATACTCCAGTTGTCAGTAGGAGGCTGATTTTAAACGGTTAGTCCCTATAGTCTTTAATCTTAACAAAACTTTCTATATTTCAATTTTTATACCATATATCCTATGATTACATATCATAGGTTATACTTAAGAAGAAAGAGATAAAAATTTCCCTGTTGGTCAGTCCATGCTAACAGTGAGTTTTTACGGAGCTCAGGGAAGTTAAGACCGAGACCTGGCCTGCCAGCTGCTGGAGGTGTTTAAGGGGGGGCAGCCGAGCTACGCGCCCTTTGGGTGGGTCCCCATCGGTGAACATCCAGGGAGCAGATGAGCCCTGTGTGCTTCCAGGCTGCTGTCACGGCAAATTTACAAGGGAAAACACTCCTCTGTGGTTTTGTGCTTCTGGTTTCTTGGCCAACCCGAACGTCACTGACCTGGAGACCTGGCCTTGTAGTGAGGATGCCTGCCAGCAGCTATGTTAAGGCTACACTGACTCCTCCACTTGGGAGAGAACGTCAGTCTGGAGGAGCCTATTTTGGACCCCGCAAGTTCACGCGACAGCAGAAGTGGATGATCAGTTCATCCGAATAAACTCAGGTTCTGGCCCCGCCCAGCCGGCCCCTCCCTGCTTCCCTTTGATGTGGCCCCTGGGTACCTGGCCAGAGTCCTTGGACACCAGCCTCACGGGGGCTCCCACTCCACCCCGTCTGGGCTGCGGCCTGGGCTGATGAGACATGTGCCTCTCCCCCAAGCATGGCTTCCCCACTGGGGCATCGCCCAGGGCTGAGTTCCTATGGACCAAGGCCAACGAGGCCCCCCTTCTGGAAGCAGGACCCGATGCCTGAGAAGCAGGCCATTCCGTGCTGTCTGACCTGGGGCCTACCTAGCATGGTGGAGTCAAAGCCCGTTGGAGACAGGCCTCGTTCTGTTTATAACATTCTAGACGTGCCCACACCCATGGGGACAGTTTTCCAAACAGGAAAATGTTGCAATAAAAGAATATGTTGTAAGAAAGACACTGAATCTTTTATTTTTTTTGTCCTTTCATTTTCTTTTTCTTTAAAAAACAAAACAAAACAGAAAACAGCCTGAAGTAAATCCTTTTTAGTAGTAGTTACAGATATAGGGGCGGGCGGGGGCACTAAGAAAGAGAAAGCACCAGTGAGAGGCCTTTCTAATGTTCTCCTCCATCACGGAGCACAGAGCCTCTGAGCAGAGCCCGGGCCCCTTGTACGCCCTCCTCCCTTGCAAAAGGAGAAACAGAAGACAAGAGTTTTGAAAGGATTTTCTCGGTGTGTGTAAAAGTCAATGCTATAAATCTAAAATGAAGTCTGTTTTTTTTCAAAAAGTTCTAAAACAACAGGAAGAAAACACATGGAAAGAACCCCTCGTGGAAACCTGGTTTTTAGGACTGAGGCTCTTTTTAACGAGAATATAAAACGCAGAGGCTCCTTCCGTGGGCGGGACCTGCTCCCGAAGCCTCTGCCACCCACTTCCCTTCAGCCGCCCAACGCTCCCTTCCTCTCTCCGTTTAAAAAATAAAACCTGCTCCTGCGACCGATCCTCCGGCAGCTCCTGTTGGCAAGTGCAGCCGCGGGGCTACTTGGTGTCGAGCTTGGCCATCTCCTGCACGTAGATGCCGATGCTCTCGCTGTCGAAGAGCAGGAAGTAGACGTTCTTCAGCGAGGACGCGCTCGAGTCGTCAAAGTGGGCCGAGATGGCTTTGAGGGTCACCTGAGCGGCCGTCTGTTTGGGGAAGCAGTTTCTGTGCCGGAGGAAAAGAAGAGCCGGTGTCACGTTGGCCGACAGCTCAGGGCGGGGGCGAAGCGGGCCCTTCTTATCTTGGCCCCGGGCCCTGACTGCCATCGCATGGGGTCTAACCACGTGCAGGCTGGTCCTCGCACCATCTCCTTTGATGCCAGTCAGAGTGACAGCCTGGGCGTGTGTGTGCGGGGGAAGCAGGGGGCCCATATCATCACCTCACAGGTGCCACGCTGACTCGGGCACAGTGGTTTTAGCCAAGATCATAGGGCACACCAGCGAGCGGTGCCCTGGGCTTGAATACGTAGCCCGACTTAGGTCAAACTTGGCTTTGAAAACACTACCAATTTAGCATTTCAAACACCTGGTCTTCAAAACAGCACCTAAAGGTTTCATTAGGCCACTCAAAACCAGTTTACGTGGTAGATTGTTTATTAAAGGGCAAAAATAGATGCTCAAAAGCTTGTGTTCATAGTTCCTTTTCATGCACTTAAGGTTCCTCTCATCAACACACAGAGATGTGCGAATGTCATTTCGGCAGCAGTGACTTACAGAAACGGGACCTCACCTCTTCTAACCCCCAAAACAAACCCTGGGTGAGAGCTTTTCATTTCTCTGGGTGTGCATGTCAAAGCCTTGGCCTCCTGGCCTTCCTCCCGCCCTCCCTGCCCCCCCCCCACCCCCAAGCAGCACAGGATCCCCGTGAGCAGCAAGGCCTTCAAAGCCTGGTGTTTTCTGCCTCTCGCTTCTCCCCAAAGCGCCTCTCTCCGAGTGTTCTGAAGGATGGAGGCTGGGCTTCTTGCCCTATTACCTGGTCAGCACGCTTGCTGCGCTGGCAGCCTCTGGTCATGGCTGCAATGGCCAGAGTGGATGTGTAAGTGGAGAGAGAGCACTGGCTCCCAGGGAGAAGGCTGGACTCAACCTCCCCGCCCGCGCCCTCCCCAGAGAAGCCCCTCCTACCTGCCACTGGGGAAGGGTGGGAAGGCCACAGACTTTAGCTTCTTGTCCTCCGCTGCCGACAGGATTTCTTGATGGTCTCTTCAAGCTGCTCTTCACACTTGTCCGAGCCCCACTGAGGGATGTGACAGTGGATGACAAACTTGGCCGCGAGTCCGCTGGATTGGCTGACGGCAGCTGGGACACGGGAGAGAAACGCTGCAGGTTATTCCCTAGTCTTCACCTTAAGCCAGGGGGTTAGGCCGAGCCCCACATGTACCTGTGAGGTGTGTGGGGACAAGGAGGTGACAGACAAGGTGACTGGACAACCTCCTGTGCCTTCGAAGGGGCCTGCAGGGTCACAGAGCGGGGGCTGTGCCGGAATCGCTCTGACAGCGGCACAGGCTTCCTTTAAAGCTGATGTGGCACCAGGAGACTTGCCTGTGTCCTGCCAACTAGTCACCGGGTGAGGCTACCTATTCCCCAGGGTTCCTGCTCAAAGGTGCACATCAGTCATCTCTGGGGCAGTGGGAGGCTGCGGAGTGGCCTCCCCGGATGTCCACATCCGGATCCCTGGAAGCTGTGCGTGTTACCTACGTGGCATAAGGGGCTTTGCGATGGGAGACAGGGAGGGACGTTGAGATGGGAACACAATCCTTTGAAGAAGGAGCAGGAAGGTCACGGGAGGAGAAGATGATGTGATGATGAAGCAGAGATGGGAGAGCTGCGTCCAGGAGCCAGGGACGTGGCAGCCAGGACTGGAAGAGGCGAGGAACAGCTCCCTGAGCAGGAGCAGCACTGCTAGCACCTCGGTGCAGGAGCCTGTGACCTCTGACCTCCAGAGCTCAGAGAGAATACATATGTGTTGTTTGAAGCCACGAAATGTGTGGTACTTTTTTTAAAATATATTTTTTATTTCAGAGAGGAAATGATGAGAGAGAATCATGGCTTGGCTGCCTCCTGCAGGCCCCCCACTGGGGATTGAGCCCGCAACCCGGGCATGTGCCCTTGACGGGAATCGAACCTGGGACCCTTTGGTCCGCAGGCCGATGCTCTATCTTCTGAGCCACATCGGCTAGGGCTTGTGGTAATTTTTTTATAGCAGCGACAGGAAACCAATACAATGGCTTTTAGACTGACCAATAGACATGTCCATCCCCACCCTGAGATCCCTCCTCAGCAGGTCTGGTGTGGCTTGTGCTAGTGACCGGATCCTCTGTAAGTCGGAGCCACGCACCTGGCCCTCCGCTCCCCCACACAGGGATTGTCTTCTGATCATCTCCGAGGAGCCTGCAGGGAGCAGGCCTTCACACGGCTTGTGACATGTGCCCCCGGTCCAACAAGGGCCCCGCTCACCCTGGAAACCGAGTCCCCTTTCTCCCTCCCTGTCACGGGAACACCAGTTGCTTTCCTAGGCTTGTCTCATCCCAGGCCCGGCTGCTTCATTTCCACCGCCACCTCCCACCCCGGCCCATCCAGCTTCCCGGCTGAAACCAGGATGCACCGAACAACCACTGTCAGCCTGGACCGAGCTGAGTTCTTTCACAGAGCGGGTGCATTCGCCTCCGTGCCACCTGGGGACACTACCAACTCAAGGTCATGTCCCACTGACCTCCCTGCCGGAGGTTTCTGGGCCGCCCTGGATTTGGCTGCACGTCTGCCCGGCTACAGGTCAGATTCTCTAGGGAGGCTCTTGCCCCTTGGTCGACCCAACGCCAAGGTCGAGATGCACACCTGCTGCCCTCTGTGCCTAGTGGGGGCGTGTCTTGCTTGCTCTTAAACTGAATGTGTCCTGGCTTTATGTGGGGCCTCCTACTAGATACCCCATCTTGGAAATCTACTCTTTCTTAATGGAATATACAGCAGGGCATTTCTTACAAGTGATGCTGTTTTGAAACGAAATGAAATGTGATATTAGAACTTGATAAACTGCCTCCTCTTTTCCAGATTCACCCCCCCACTCACCCCCGTTCCATCTTCCCAGGGAGACCCCACTCCCAGGCCTCAAGACCTGGACCTAAGAGACCTGCCCCAGTGTCTGAGCTCCATTCCCGGCGGCCGTCTCCTGGGTTCACTTGTTTCTCACAGTGCGGCCCTCAGCTGTCCTTGCAGGGAGGCTGCGGATTTCTGACCCGACTCCTGGACGTCGGAAACTGTGCATCCTTCTCCTCCCTCACGTGGAGTTCTGGGTGGACAGTGTCCCCTCCCCTCGGTGCTCCAGAAGAGACTTCCTTCCCATCTCCAAGCACCTTTGTTGCTGAGAGAAGTCGCTGTCGGGAGAACTGTCTGCAAACCATCTGCCTTTCCTCGTGGGTTGCTTTTCAGGTTTCTCTTGAGTTTGAACTTCTGAAGTGTCACCACGACTTCCATGGACTACACTCAATTTTATTTATTTATTTTTAATCCTCATCCAAGAATATCTTTCCATTGATTTTTAGAGAGAGAGGGAAAGACAGAAAGAAATAGTGATGTGAGAGAAACTCATTGATTGGTTCCCTCCTGCATGTGCCCTGACCAGGGCCCTGGCCGGGGAGGAGCCTGCAACCAAGGTACGTGCCCTTGACTGGAATTGAACCCGGGACCCTTTGGTCCGCAGGCCGATGCTCTATCCACTGAGCCACACGGACTAGGGCTATCCTCAATATTTTCAACCTGAGGACCCAGGGTTTCATTCTGGAAATCGCACAGCAATGATATTTTAAAACATGGCTTCTCTACCTTCTCTCTTCTGCCTCTGGAACTTCAGACGCAAGATGGAGCCTCTCATTCTATGCAGAGCAGCTGTTTCCTCTTTCCCACCCTGACAAGCAGTCTGCTGGGTGCCTTCCCTAGACCCCCAGCCCAGATCCAGTCTTTGTGGCCAATTCAGGGCTCTGTCTCATGACCGGGCAGGGGTGTGGTAGGTCCACGCACTGAGCCAGTGGGCATGTGGCCTGGGCGAGAGGCTCCCTGCTCCCATCGGCTCCCCTAGAAAACAGCTTTCACACAAGCCAGGCCCTGGTGGTGGTCTGAGCGAAAGGCCGTGAGCGTTGCTTTCAGCACGGAGCCGGGCTTTGGTTCCCTCCACGGAGGAGGTGACTCTGTTCTCATCACCACCTAAGAGCCCACCTCCTGATGGTTCAGCATATTGCAGACCTGGAGCCCAACCCGCAGCTCGGCCCTTCCCTGCTGCTGCCCCAAGCAGTGCTCCTACCCCTGCCCACATGTATGTTTGTCCTATATTTCAGTGTGGCTCTGTCTTAAATTTAAAAAAAAAATGCTATCATTGCTATATGAATGGGGAATGATATGTGCAGACTCTACGGGGTGGACTCACACTCTTTCTAGACTGGAAGACCCATTACTTCTCCAGCATCTACTAGTAATCTGATCATAAGTCCCTCGCTTCAATGGTCAAAGGTGCCCCTCTCGTCTATACAGGTTCTCCTACCTGCTGCTCCCTGCTGGCTCATGACCCGAGCCTTCTCACACACAACGCCCTTATGGCCATGATGTCCCTGCCCTCAAGTGGGTCTTATACCCTCATGGAGATTCCACTTCTCCCCCAAGCAGAGGGTGGGCTCTGCAGCCCTGCTCCCATCTCTCTGTGCCCCACTATTGAGTCTGTCTTGCCTCCTAGGCTGTTCGGTGCTTGTGGGCAGGAGGGGGATATATTGCCTTTGGGGCCCTGGCATCAGGGCAGCACCTGGCACTGACTGGATGGCCATGGGGGGTGGTGTGGCTGGGGACACAGATCTGAAGTTGAACACATCCATCAAAAATTACCCAATAGTCTTGCCCTAACTGGTTTGGCTCAGTGGATAGAGCATCAGCCTGCGAACTCAAGGGTCCCAGGTTTGATTCCGGTCAAGGGCATGTACCTTGGTTGCGGGCACATCCCCTGTAGGGAGTGTGCAGGAGGCAGCTGATCAATGTTTCTCTCTCATCGATGTTTCTAACTCTCTATCCCTCTCCCTTCCTCTCTGTAAAAAAATCAATAAAATATATTAAAAAAATAAAAAAATTACCCAATAGTCTTGAAAACAGGTGTCAAACAAAAACTTGCGCACAAATGTTTATAGCAGCTCTATTCACAATAGCTAAAGGTGGAAACCACCCAACTGATAATGGGGAAGCAAAATGGAATATTATTCAGCCATGAAAAAGGAATGACGTTCTGATACGTGCTACAATATGATGAGCCTCGAAGAAATTATTTGTGAAAGAAGCCAGACACAAAGTGTCCCATATTGTCTGACTCCATTTACATGACATGCCCAGGACAGGCAAATCCACAGACAGAGGAGACTGACGGTCGCCAGGGGCCGAGGGAGGAGAATGACTGAAAGTGACCCAATAACTCCGGACCATTTTTGGGTGACCTGAAGCACCCTGACTTGAACTATCCAGATACTTGATAGCCCCCGAAGGACATGACATGATCCACCTGGGACTGTTCAAATTAAAAAATAACTTTCTGATTAGGCACGGCAGATTTTACTTGGCAAACTGAGCGTGTGGGCAGCATGTGATGCTGGAGAGGGAGGTGCGAGGCTGTGCGGGGAACACGGCCCAGTTCCACACTCACCTTCAGCCACTTCCAAAGGGCCTTGGGACTTGCGGAGCTCCTTCACCGTTTCCAGGAACTCTTTGCCCCCAGCCTTCTCCAAGGCCTTCCCTGTGAGGAGAACAAGCGGGAGCCACTGTGGCTGTTCTTTCAATGCCGCCAATCACACTGTCAGACACACTTTCACGAGGCCAGAGAAAACAAACCAACCGTACTTGGAAAGTTGGAATAAAACTTTGCAACTGAAATCCTGGTTTGCCAGTGGTCACCTGTGGCAGGGGTCTGGCTTCTGTCCATCGGGACTTAAATTCTAACAAACTCTTCAAGGACCTTCTTAGGGGGTGACTTGACCATAACGTGTCTCCTGACAGGAATCCTGAAGATTATTATTATTTTTTTAAATTGAGGCTCCAGTGTTCTCCAGTGTTCTGTTCTCTGGGCTCAGTACCTGTTGTGTTCATTTAATTCAATGCCTACTGGGGATTGAGCCCACAACCTGGGCATGTGTCCTGACTGGGAATCGAGCTGGCAACCTTTTGATGCGAGGGACGACACCCAACCAACTGAGCCACCCCAACCAGGGCTGAGATGGTGACCATTGAGTATGCTATTATTTCTAGTGCCCTTCCTAGCTTCCCTTCCCAGGCTCTTCTACCTAGCCTGGTAACATCTCCTGCCTTAAGACAATGAACTTTTCCTAGGTGCCCATTTCCTTTTTATCAATGGTTTTCTCAATATTTAAGCTTAAAATATATGCAGAATTTTACCCCAAAAATGTATAACAACGTTTGTACAAGTATTACTCATTATTATCTAAACCAAAAACCACCCGAATGCCACCAATGGTAGAATGGATCAACAAATTGGGATATATTCCTATAGTGGAATACTATACAGCAAAGAAAAATGAATGGACTACAACCATACTCAACAATATGAGTAAACTTCACAAATACAAAGATGAGCAAGAGGAGGCAGACACAAAAGAAGACGCACTGCATGATTTCATTTATAAAGACTCCAAAACAGATGACGCCATCTGTGCTGTTAGAAGACAAGACAGTGGTCACCTTGGAGGGAATGGTGACTGGGAGGGGGGAGAAGGGGACTTCTGAGGTGCTGGTAAGGTTCTGTTTCATGATCAAGGTGCTGGTTGCAAAGATGTATTCACTTTAAGAAAAATTCACCAAGCTGTGCACTAATGATCTGTTTTCATCTAACATTTCAATGAAAATTTCAAAAATATATGCAGATCTAAAACAAAATTAGTTACTCTCTGGTAATGCTGTTCAGCTACATATAAAGGTAAGCACCCCAAGCAGGGGACAGCCAGCGGACAAGGGCCAACCTCAGAAGAGCTTGCCCGAACAGTGGGCTGTACTGCGGCACCTCTACTATCGTCTGGGGACCTTACCTATGTCTTCCTTGAGGTCAATTTCGGCCGTGGTTGGGTGGACAATGCCCTCCACTCTCATGGAGCCAATGTGGCTGATGTCACTCTGGGTCAGGGACAGCTGCAGCAGGAAGAAAGGATAGAGAGTGTGGGAAAGATTAGATCCTGTTAAGCATCTTCATATTTCACATCATATCTGTTAATTCTCTCTAATACCGAATGTCAACACAAAGGGCTGTACATGGAGCAACGTCTCGAGTTTCCCGGTGTTTGGTTTTCAACAGGTGCTTTGAGCTCAGAGGATTGATGTTCGCTCTGAGGTTAGCAGCTTGCACAAATCTCCTCTTCCAGGAGCAGAAACGGGACCCCCTCCCCTCTTCTCCTTTCCCTACAGCCTATGCCTGCCTTTCCCCATCCTGGCAGCCTTGCTGGTCGGTGACATAGTCTCTGAGTAGCTTCTGCAAGGGAAGCCTGGCTCTCTCCCCTGCCTTCTGTTTCCTGCATCCTTCCCAGAGCAACGCAGACCTTCGAGGAGGGTCGCAAAGCTGATGACCTCGCTTGAGAGAAGTGATGGCCCCCGGGACCCTGACCTGCGTATGTCTGGCCGCCTTGCCTTTAGTGGACCACGTTCTTGGGGCTGCACTTGTGAAATGCTGCCATATGCGCACAGGGCTTAGTGGGATGGAGGCATTATTCATCGCCTCCCCATTGAGCAAGAACTTCACGATCCCCTAAAGAAGTGAGAGAAAGCTAATCGCCTCGTAACTTCGGACGGCCCCTAGAGGGGACATGAATTCCACCTCTTCGCTGGGCTTCCATCAGTGAGGCCGTAGGAACCTGCCACTTCTACACTCTTCCCATAACACGCTCGTCCCAACCGCGTCAATGAGATTCACACTGTACTGTCGTCAGGCTGCAAACATTGCGCTACCAGAGATAGGACCAGCTGTTTCCTTGCGGATCTTATGTCAGCCCCAGTTGATCTAACAGATAATTGTCTGTTTGGTAAACTTTTATGCTGGGGGAATGAATTATCTGCAGGTCTGGCTGGGCCACCGTTGTGCTGCTGGAGACTGTTCAAATGTTTGGCCCGTTTGTTTCCTCCTGCAGCCGAGAAAGGCAGGCAGACGAAATTATTGGCAAACCATTCATTTCTAACACCAGGGGTTTTCAGGAAACATATTTCTATTTTCTTTCTTTGATGAATTACAGTGAGCCATGTAACGTGGACCGCCCACAGCCTGCTTGAGAAAGTTGGCTCTGAGCATTTTGGTGAGCACAGAAATAACTGGGGCCTGGGCCATTTCCAGCAAGCCCAGTAATGCCATCCTATCTACTGACCAACTGTCTACTCTCCATGCTTACCTTTGGCCGACCAACATCAGCATGAACAATTCTCAGCACGAAAGACCTTGTTTACTCGTTAGTTCAAAAATGAATCATTCAAGGCCAGAGAGAAAGTCATATTAGGGGAACCAGAGATGAAGGAGGCGTCACTGCTTGTAAACAGCAGGTTATAAAAATGCAATCAGCCCTAACCGGTTTGGCTCAGTGGATAGAGCGTCGGCCTACAGACTGAAGGGTACCAGGTTCGATTCCAGTCAAGGGTATGTACCTTGGTTGTGGGCACCCCAGTAGGGGGTTTGCAGGAGGCAGCTGATCGATGTTTCTCTCTCATCGATGTTTCTAACTCTCCATCCCCTCTACCTTCCTCTTTGTAAAAAATCAATAAAATATATATTTAAAAAAATGCAATTATGGCCCTGGGGGAGGCTCAGTTGGTTGTGGCATCATCCCATGTACCAAAAGGTTGCGGGTTCGATCCCTGGTCAGGACACAAAGCTAGGTTGTGGATTCCATCCCCGGTCAGAGCGAGTATGGGAGGCAATTGATTGATGTTTCTCTCTCTCTCCCTTCTTCTCTCTAAAAATCAATAAACATATCCTCAGGTGAGGATTTGAAAACGCAATCATGTTTTACTACAGCACAACACAGCACAATTCTCTTTAGTACCTTCTGCCCTAGAACGAGGCTCTTAGAAGACAAGATGGTGAATCCGTCTCCTGGCCCGTCTTCAGAGGTGGAATTCGAAGTCCCTTCTTTATCGCTGTCCTTTGGTTTGGACTGTGGTAGAAATCAGAGGAATAGGGGGGAAGTCATTGGAGAAAAAGCCCAAAGTGGCTCGATAAAGCTCTTCCCATAGCCGCCACCCCCGTGGGCATGAAAGGCAGTGGTTAGCGTTACGTTCTACTGCTCTTGATGGAGGGAAGCAAAGGGTAGCAATATCAGGAAAAGAAACGGGTGCTGCCAAAAACACGACGTGTTCAAAGGTTCACGCGAGCCTGTCGCGCAGTTATGTGATTCTTGCTCTTCTCCACTTACGATGACAAGCATCAGAACCGGGAGGGTCGTTCCAGCACACTGCTCAACCCCCCGTCCCCGGTTTCCCCTGGGGCACCGAGGCAGCCCAGGGAGCGCTTACATGACCTCTGTGTTGTCATGAGGTCTGTGGAGGGCAACGGACAGCCTCTGAAGCTGCGCTGTCCAACTTCCTGTGATTGTGGGAACGTCCTGCGTCTGTGCTGCCAAGGCAACTGAGCACTCAGCTCGTACAACCGAGAAAATACTTTTAAATTTGATTTAATTAAGTTAAATTCAAATAGAAAGAACCACACATGGAGAGCAGTTACTGTGCTGGGCAGCACCTGAAAGTATTACTCTGCAAACGGCATCTCTGGCTGTAGCTGCTCATCAAGTTCTCCGCCACACCTGAACCCCCTCGGCCGGACCTAGGGGACTATCTAGGGGAGACTAGAGCTATTTCAGTGGCAACACGGAGCGACAGAGAAGTGAAGAGCAGCGCGCCAGGCTGTCGGCCCTCACGTAGGTTTTAGTGGGGGCAACGGCAGGGATCTGGGAACATGAGGACCACCCAAGCTTTGGAAACCGCTGGTAGACCCTGCCTGGTGATTGGAGCGCATGGTTGGCATTTTCTCCCAGCACCGCGCCGTGGAGTCCCCCATTTTCTGGAGATATGGCTACACCTTCATCTTCGACGGTTCAACTTTCCTGCTGTTCCGAGAGTCCCTGGCTCACGGACGCAGCCCGGCTCACCTTTTTGGACGTCCGTGGTTTGGCAGCCTTGGATTTCTTGCCCCCCTTCTTGCCCGACGTGGCCTTCCTTCCTCTTTTCTCCGGGGGAGGGGAGAGGATAGTTTCCGACTTGCCTTTGGTCCCTCGCTTTTTGGCCAGCAGTTCGGGATGGATTCTGGGCAGGACGCCTCCGCTGGCAATGGTCACTCCTTTCAGCAGCTGAAGAGAGAAACGCAGCAGTTCAGACAGCTAAGAGCTTGCTGATCCTGGGTTTAATACACTTCTAACTGTTGGCAAAACAAGGTTAAATCTGGCCTTTGTTTCCCCTAAGTTGCATAATACACCGTCTAACTGGCTTTTTCTGTTTCTCTTGCAGAGAGTATCTCTGTAGGCGTCAAGGCCTCCTGTGATCTTGTGCAGAAAACACAACAAGCCAAGCAAAATGAAAGGGTAGAGAGGTTGAAACCAGCCATGCTGCCCAGGGCTCTGGAATTCCAGACATAACAGAGGATAAAGAGCCTCACGCATGGGGAGCACAGCTTGACAAAATGAAGTTCAAAGGTCAAAGCTGGGGCTAGACGCAGCAGACCACTGGTCTCCGCACTCCTTTGAGGAAAAGAAGGCCTGGCCAGACCCAGAATGTATAACAGGATCTACTCCAGAGGCAATTGTATTTTGAAGCTGAATGATACCCCAGAAGAATCGATTCTTCTCTTTTAGGATCTAAAAGACCTATTTTGGTGCAAATGTGACGGGAACTAGAGCAGGAATGACGTGCAGCCAGCTGTGTCCACATGCAGTCGTGTGTTCGACAAACCCACTTGGTGGCACGTGTCCGTGCGGCAGAGGTACCTGATTGAGCTCCTCATCGTTGGCCACTGCCAGCAGGATGTGTCTCGGGGCTATCCGGGCCTTCTTGTTGTCCCTCGCGGCATTGCCAGCCAATTCTAGAATCTCCGCTGAAATGACAAGGGGGAGTTAATAGGCAACCACAGAATGGGGTCTGAGCTCCCTGAAGCTTTTCCTTGGGAATGGTCTTTGAGTTTGATCACACTGATTCACTTGTGATTTTTAAGTCTGGGCCTGGAAAGAAATCCAAAAAGCTGAAAAGAATTCAGGTCTTAGACAAGTAAGATATGTTAGCAAGACCTGACCTATGATCCTGGAACAAAGTCTTCTAGTTGTCCCTTGACATTAATTCCTCCCCATCCTCCTTGGTATATGGATCTGATTTTTTTTTTTTTTTTTTGCTGAGCCCATATCCATGGGAAGGAATGAAGACAGTTTTTCCCAACCTCCCTTGTTGATACAGGTGGTCATGTGACTAAGCTCTGGCCAGTGAAAGGCAAGCAGTCGTGTTGTATGGTACCCCTTCCTTTTCTATTGCTGGACTGAGGACGTGATGGCTGGGATTTGACCAAGAAGAAGCTGTGGATGTGGAGTAACAAGACAGAAGGAGCTGAGGTATCTTATGGCTGTGGGGCTCCCTTACCAACCTGGACTATGTTCTATAGCAGTGATGGCGAACCTATGACACGCGTGTCAGAGATGACACGCAAACTCATTTTTTTGGTTGATTTTTCTTTGTTAAATGGCATCTAAATATATAAAATAAATATCAAAAATATAAGTCTTTGTTTTACTATGGTTGCAAATATCAAAAAAATTTCTCTATGTGACATGGCACCAGAGTTAAGTTAGGGTTTTTCAAAATGCTGACACGCTGAGCTCAAAAGGTTCGCCATCACTGTTCTATAGACTTCTTTTATGAGAGAGAAATAAACTCTTGTTTAAACCCTAGCATGGGGCATCTCTGAGAGAATAGTGATGTAGATGAAGTCTGTCTCTGGTACCCAGTGGGACCCCTTTCAGAATCCTCTTTTCCACTTCACTTGATGCCCCAGGTCCCTCTTGTCCTAAAGGAAAGTGGATGGGAAGGACTCACACTACAGGATGAGGAAATGCTCAACCCGAGAAATGAATTCCTAGTGGGGAGACCTATGAGGTCTGTGAAGGAAGGTATGTTGGGGCTCAGGGGTTTCCTCATACCCCTCAGAGCCTAAGCCTGGCTCCGAGTTTAACGAACATGTTATGTGGTAAATGGGAAAGAGCTGACAGAAAGGAATTTTCCTAATACTACTTCACCTGCTACCAAATTTTTGAGTCAAGTTTTTAAAAAAAATCTATAGAATTGTTTCATACCATCTGTATGCTTTCTCCTTTCTCCTCTTATTTTGTTATTTTTCCTTCTTCCTCAATTTTAGGATGTTCTGCTAAATCAAACTTGTCTGCTTTTAAAAGAATGAATGAGCCTATAAAGAAAAATTCCTTCCCTTAGGAAGCTAACAGCAGTGTGCCATTGAGCTGTTTCACTTACACGTGGGGGAAAATGTGTGCGTATGTGCATGTGCGCATAAATTTGTTGTGAGGTGTTTGCACAGTGTGTGTGTGTGTGTGTGTGTGTGTGTGTGTGTTGGGGATTTGCTGGTATAATGGCATAAATATTAAATCTTAAAATTAACAGGGGATTATGTATGTCTTTACAATCAACCTAATTTCAAATAAAATAGCACATGAAATTGCCATCATTTATAAAATATATGGCAATAAAATAAAAACTTGGCATAAGTATGCCATATTAACTAAGCAAATGTAATTAACAAAAATTAGAATAAAATAATCATTAGAGTTAAATATTTATATGGCATTTCCATAATGAAAAGTGCTAAATCACTGCAAATTCATCTCATAGCATCCCTTCCAGGTTATTAAGCAATGAATATTGTGTTTACCAACAATTCATTTATACAGGGATCATGTTTCCTGAATCACAGATTGAGGGGGCACTGTAGTTGGAGAAGTATGAGCATATTTGTTGAGACAGTGGGGCAGAGAATTTGAAATTAATGTCATATTGGATAATCTGATTTGCTGCATTCAGACTGCTGCCCAACCCTTTCTTTATTTAAAAAAGTGTACCCATCAAAAAGAAATGCAATCACAAAGCTTTCACTAATAGGCTTGCTGGCCTGGCCGGTGTGGTTCAGTGGTTGAGCGTTGATCCATGAACTAGGAAGTCACGGTTCAATTCCCCATCAGGGCACATGCCCAGGTTGCGGGCTTGATCTCTAGTAGGGTGCGTGCAGGAGGCAACCAATCAATGATTCTCATCATTCATGTTTCTCTCTCTCCCTCTCCCTTCCTCTCTCTGAAATCAGTAAAAACATATTTTAAAAAAATAGGCTTGCAGCATGACTCTAGGTTAAAATGTGCAGCATCCCATTGTGCGCAATAAAACGGAGTTTCCTGCACTTGCTCATCTCGGGGGCCCCACGCCTGGGAAGAAGGTGCACTCCACTCACCTTTTTTCCTAGATGGGTGAGGGGGCCAAGGAGCCTCCCAATGTTAAGCTTCTGAGAAATCAAATGTAATTTAGCATCTTGGCCCCTCACTCTCCTGCCTCTGTCCCCTGCATTTAGAGGAAGAAGTTAAGCACCCTCCCAAGTTCATTAACTCAGTCGTCAGCATGAGAAGCAGGGCTCATGGGGAAACCCGCCATGCTTGGGGCCTGCAAGAAGCCCCTGAAGCTCAGGTTATTTTCAGCTTGACGGACAGACGCACGGACATGAGACCCGCAGATGGGAAATCTGCCAGAATTAAGTGCAGCACAGGAGAGAGTCACCGCAGTGACTCAGCAGGTGGCGCGAAGCCTGCGACTCAGCTCCCGGACCAGCCCTTCCAAAATCCGTTCTAGAAAGAAAACCTTGACCATGTGCTCTAGTGAAAAAGCAAAGGTAGAGCTTCCTTTTTCTTCCTTTTTTCTTTAAAGAGGAGAACTTAATGATACACCAGAAAATCTAGACCAAGGAGTTCTTTTCTCTGTTGGATGTTTCATCTGAACATTCCCTGGGACAGAGAAGCCACCATTTAAATCAGTGGTTCTCAACCTTCTGGCCCTTTAAATACAGTTCCTCATGTTGTGACCCAACCATAAAATTATTTTCGTTGCTACTTCATAACTGTAACGTTGCTACTGTTATGAATCGTAATGTAAATATCTGATATGCAGGATGGTCTTAGGCGACCCCTGTGAAAGGGTCGTTCGACCGCCAAAGGGGTCTCGACCCACAGGTTGAGAACCGATGATTTAAATGTTTGAAACAACATTAATCATTATTAATATTTTCAAATGCTGTTCCGACAAACGCATTTAAGTGGATTATAAAATAAGCATTAAAATTAAATATTTATGTGGCATTTCCATAATGAAAAGTGCTACAACACTGCGAATTCATTCTCACATCTCTCCCACGTTATAGTTGCTACATCGTTGAGTGACTTTATTGATTTTGGGAACACAAGTCTCTTTCTATTGGCCATCAGGAGGAAAACTGGATTTAAATGGCACACATTTGTTCCACTGGAAATTCTGTAGGGAGATCATTATTCCATTAAGTGGTGGCGACTTCCCTGGAAGTTTATAGACTTCCACAGCAAACCTCTAACTTCTTGGAAGTCTGGTTTCCAGCAATAGTAACCATCTGGAATGCACCTGAGTATCTGATAGTAAAAAAAAAAAAAGATTTCTGTAGCCAAAAGAAATGATTTTGGAAGAGCTGTGTCCTCTCATTTTGGACACGAACTGAATCGACACCGGGCATCCCGACCCCAGCAGATGGGAAATAGCACATTAAACGGAGGGTTGGAACAGAGGGCCCGGAGTGGCCGCTCCTTCAAGACCGTCTCCCTCTCCGGCCCCATCGTGCTTGTACACCTGCCCGCCAGATGATGGCGCCCCTGGGCTGTGTCTGGGCCCTTTGCTCTGCTCAGGCCATGAGTCATTTGGGGGAACCCCATCCACCTGTGGCTCCAGCTTCCACCTACCTTCCCGTGTGGTCAGATCTGCACCTCCAGCTCTGCTGAGATGTCACCTCACCTGGGTGTTCCACAGGTAAATCCAACTCCCCACATCCATATCGCCCCCTTCCCAAGCCTGCTCCTCCCATCGCCCTTGGGACTGGCAGCTCCATCCACACACAGACCTTAGAGTCATTCTCTCCTCCTCCCCGCCCTCCCTCCTCCCGGCCTCTTCAGGCCATGAGTCTCTGCCCCTCTTCTCCACGCTTGTTGCCATGATCTGAGTTAAGGCCCTCTTCTCTTCCGGCCCAGAAAACAGTAGTGACTGTCGAAATGGTTTCCCTGTCTCCGTTTTGTCCTCCTCTAGATCCCTGCCAACAGCGCCATCACTAGGCCAAAGGCGCCTTTGTGCAAATTAGAAAAAGTTGCCTCTTCCTCAAGACACTGTACTGCCCCGATTTCATCTGAACAAGACCCTTTACTGCCATCTGCTGGAAATGCTCATAATAAAGATAGTTATCTGAGGGCCACGCTGTGAATGGCATGCCCTTAAATGTGTGTCCTTGCGCAGTGTACAATCTGCACAACCACGCGCGTGGCTCTGGCTGCCAAAGTGAGCTCTTCAAAACACAAATGTAATAAGTGAGAATCATTAGGTAAAAATGCTTGGTGTTAAACGGATAGATCTAATTGTCTGGAAATAATGTGTAAATGATGAGTTCCTATGTTACACAATGATTTCAGGAGGTGCCCTGAAATTCAACCCTGCTTTAAGACTTCTTTGTCCTCTCAATTAAAAATATTTTATGAAACATTTTCTCAACATAAAAAAGGTAAATTATTTATTCTCAATAGCTCATCGTGGTCCTCAGTGGCCTGCTCCCCACTCCATCTCATTCCCACCACCAACCCCCGGCCCTGCCACTTCCCAGCCTGTTCCTGGTACACGGAACTTCCTCTAGTTCCTGGAAGTGCTACGTACTCCTCTAAACTTCATCCTTGTTCCTCCCCAACCGGACAGTCTCCCCCTGCGCAACCCCTCCCATCCGAATCTGGTAACTCCTACTAATTCCCAACTCTATTGCCCGTCAGATCATTTGGGGGAGCTTTGAGAAACCCTGATGCCCAGAACATACCCCAGAATTTCTGGGGGTGAGACCCAGGCATCAGGAAAGGAGAGGGATAGAGAGATAGAAACATCGATGAAAGAGGAAACATCATTGATTGGCTGCCTCCTGCATGTGCTCTACCGGGGATCGAGCCCGCAACCCGGGCATATGCCCTGACCGGGAATCGAACCCTGACCTCCTGGTTCACAGGTCTACGCTCAACCACTGAGTACCACCGGCCAGACTCACCTTCTCCATTTGACTGAGGAAGATGCTCGATGCTGGGACTGGCTGGAGAGAGGATATTAATGGCTATGCCATCCTTCTAGGTGCTCATCCTCTCTTCTATTTCATGTGCAACTCATGAGCAAGTCCTGTTGGCTTTGCCTTCAAACTATATCAGTACTCTACTCTTCCTCGGTGCCTTCACTGCCCACTCACTGGATCTCTGCTGTAGCCTTCCAGCTGCTTCTCCTGCTTCCACCCTGTACCCCTCCCCCAGGATCAGATCACTCCCCCCTCTGCTCCAAACCCTGCAGAGCCGCTATGGCTAGCTCTTATCCCCACCCCTCCCCCAATTCCAGCCCCTTCTCCCTTGGGCCTCATTTACAGTCCAAGCCCCACCCCCAGCTGTAGCCCTCTGTCCCCACTGCTGTTCCCCCAACACTCCCAGCACCTGCCTTCCCCCAGGCTAGGGCACCCACCCCCAGACATCTGCAGGCCCACTCCCTGGTTTCCTTCAGATGGGCCTTCTTGGGTGGCTCTATTGATGACTCCCCTCCCCTTCCCTTTTCTGGAACACCCTATCAGTAGTATCCACTTTATTTGTCCCCCAGCACTTAGCACGCCTGATGTAGCACACCCTCCACTTGTTTTTCCTGCTCCTTCCTCGGGAATGCATTCTGCTGGAGGGAGGGATTCCTGTCTGTCCTGGTCTAAGCTCTGTCCTCAGCATCCACAACACCTGGCCCACAGTAGGTGCTCAATAACTGTTTGTGAGTGAATGGAAGATTCTGAGAACTCCATTCACTGAGAAACAGAAGGACGCTCTACTATGGAAGGTACTGTAAGTCCTTAAAGACCTGCTGGCTCGCCCTCGCTGGTTTGGCTCAGTGGATGGAGCGTCAGCCTGCGGACTGAAGGGTCCCAGGTTTGATTCCGGTCAAGGGCATGTACCTTGGTTGCGGGCACATCCCCAGTTGGGGGTGTGCAAGAGGCAGCTGATTGATGTTTCTCTCTCATTGATGTTCCTAACTCTCTATCCCTCTCCCTTCCTCTCTGTAAAAAAAAAAAAAATCAATAAAATATATTAAAAAAAAAAAAGACCGGCTGGCTCAAAGTCACAGTGTGACTGCTGTGAAGGCTGGGGGCTCTAATCCAAGACACATGAAAAATCCTAGCAACGGTCCAATTCTATGACCAGAGAGCAGCCTGAGGACTTAGTGTGTGTACTGACATGTAGATGCTTACCAGATATTGGTTGAATAAATGGGAAAATGTAAGCTTTTATCTGAACCAAAGATGAACAGAGATGCCCGTGATTCAAAAGGCCGCATTTGTTTTCTTATGCATGAAGTGTGACTTTTGCCAAGTGGAGACATAGAAAGTACTTAATTACTTTGATTACACACACATTATAATGGGTCACGGTGGTGTAGCAGGAAGTGCACAGCTTGGGATCGGAGGGTCTCAGGGAAGCCCCGCTCCTGCTGGGAGGCTGTGGGATCTCTGGGTCACCCAAGTGGTTTCCAGTCTCAGTGGGTGACACGAGTTTAACAGGTTGTTTTAAAGTTTCATTCATCTTTCTCGAAGCCAGCATCCCAGAGCCAGCAGGTTTTCCCATCAGGCTTCTGGGTTCTACCCCAGACCCAGGGAATCAGGCCACCGGAAGGGGTGCAGCCAGGAACTTGCATTTTGAACAAGCATCCCCCACGCCTGTAGGTCTGCTGCTGAGAGACTGGTACCACCTTGCTCCTCTGAGCAGTCCTGGAACCAGCAGCATGGGCATCACCTGGGAGCTCGTTAGAAGGGCGGAGTCTCAGGCGCCACCCCGGCCCTTGTCAATAAGATTCCCGGGTGATCCCACCTTGAACAGCACTGCTCTATCTCCCTGGACTCAGTCGACCTTCAGAGCCCTCCAGCCTCTCTCCCACCTCCTGAAGGATCCTCCTGAAAAACTTTTAGCGCAGGAGGGCTTTCATTGCACAGTAAGGGACAGGTTCATGGTGCTGCGGTCGGTGTGCCCGACAGAAGGTCCGGGGGAGAAGCTTCCACGAAGGGATCAAGGCAAACCTTTCTTCGGTAACGGTGCTCGGTGAGCGATGGGGACCAGGAGGGCAGAACAGGACCGTACATTTAAGGAGGAAGAGACTGCGCTTGAGGGAGAAGCAGGAGGGGAAGAGGGAGCTGGGAGAGAAACTGGGTCCAGCCCTGCCCGCCTGGGGGTTTTCATGCTGTGGCTGCAAGGGGCTCAGCTTCCAGGTAGGTGGTTTGGGGAAGTTCGCTTTTCTCCCTGGTGGACTTTCCAAAGGATCTGGTGTCTAGGGAATCCCCATGGGCAGAGTCCAAGACATTATTGCCAATGGCTAAGAGGACCCTTTCAGTGAACTAACCACACTTATTTATATAGATTTGTATTTTTATATATCTTAAAAATTAAAAAAATTAAAATTGATTTCAGAGAGGGAAAAGGAGAGGGAGATAGAAACATTAATGACAAGAGAGAATCATTGATCAGTTGCTTCCTGCATGTCCCCTACTGGGGATCAAGAATGCAACCCAGGCGTGTGCCCTGGCCGGAATTGAACTGTGACCTCCTGTTACAACCCACTGAGCCACACTGGCCGGCTATATATCTTTTAAAGCCTCCTTGAAATTGTGAAGTATATCTTCTGTTTACGACATAAGAGTACAATAACAAAAACGAAGTAGAAAGTTCTCAAATATATAGAGAACCCATACAGCAAAACTCTCATCTCTTAGTAAAAAAGTAATTTTAACAACCAATACAGGAAACGATTTCCTACATAACCACTGTAGACAGAGAACCACCTCTGTAAAGGAGCAAAATTAGAATGTTGGCTTCATGGAACCAACTGAACATGCCTTTGATGCTCTGGTCAGTTATTTATGGACATCGAGTCCTAGTTTCATGCCCCGGAGAACTGATGTTTAATGAGGACTTTCTGTAAAGTGAAGACCCCTTTTATAAAACAAATAGCACCCCCTTCCTCCCGTAGCTTCTCTTCTTTGGGAACCTAGATTCTCACACATTGCATTTGCCTACGCAAGACACACCTTTTTCAGGGCTGGGCTGGAAGAGCCACTTTCCTGTGGGTTCTCTTCCTCCCGTGCTGATCACCTGTCCGTCTCATGCCCTTTTCTCTCCCCTAGAGCCTGCAGAAACTGATCAGCAAGCAGGCAAGCCGCAACCCAGCTGCCACCCACAGCAGCCTTGAGACAGCACCCTCCCAGCCGGTGTGAGAGGGGCCGAGCGGACCGTGCAATCTGGGGGCGGGTTACCTGCCCCTCGAGGCACCCTACCTGCCAGGTACTCGATGACTGCCGCCATGTACACGGGGGCACCCACGCTGATCCGGTACTTGAACGTCCCTTTCTTCAGGTAACGCATCAGCCTCCCCACCGGGAAGATGACCCCAGCCCTGGCTGAACGCGACAGCTTGGACATTTTCTTCTTCCCGCTCCGGCCCGACATCTTGCCTCAGTTTCCCTCGCCGCTTGCTGGCACGGTGGCTTCCTGGCGCTAGCACAATGCTGAAAAGGAAAGAAAGCAGGGTGAGGAAGGCGGCTGGAGAGCATCTTGGGAACAGTGAGTGGTCCTAGAGCACTAGGTGACGTGCCGGACAGTCCGGGAGGTGGCTGAGACCGGCTGCCACCGCAGGGTGCTGCAGGCAGGAAGCGGGCCGTGGGCCTTTGCAGGCCGCTGGCAGGCCCACCCACAAACCTCTCCCCACCCCATCAAGCCAGCGCAACCTCAATACGAGAGGCCAAAGACTGTCACTAGAGAGAGGCCAAGGCCTTTCAGTCAGCGAATAATGGTTTCCAACGACGTCCACTTCGTCACCCCCAGACCATTTGGGATGTGTCGCCTTATATGGCAGAAGGGACCCTGCAGATGGGATTAAGTTTGGGGTCCTGAGCTGGGAGCGTATCCTGGATGGTCTGGGCAGGTCTAATGGAACTGCAAAGGTTCTTCCACGAGGGGGGCAGGAGATGAGAGTGAGGAGCAATATGAGTGAAGGGAACGAATTCTCCCCTCAGAGCCTCCAGAAAGGACCAGACCTGCCGACGCCATTTTATTTTAATTTTTAAAAATATTTTTTTATTGATTTCAGACAGGAAGGGAGAGGGAGAGAGTAGAAACATCAATGATGAGAAAGAATCATTGATCGGCTGCCTCCTGGCCCCCTACTGGGGATCGAGCACGCAACCCGGGCATGTGCCCTTGACTGGAATTGAACCCGGGACTCTTTAGTCTGCAGGCCGATGCTCTATCCACTGAACCAAGCCGGCCGAGGCTGCCGGCGCCATTTTAGCCCAGTATAAGGGCTTCTGACCTCCAGACTGTGAGAGTAAGTCTGTCTTGTTTTAAGCCACTAAATTGGAGGTGATTTGTTATAGCAGCAATAACAAAACTAACACATTCCTCTTTTCTCCGATTTGCTTCAGCCTGTTTTAATACATTAGTACTTGATTCATAGCTTTGACCTACAGCTCACAGCTGATTTCCAATAATTCTTAAAAACCGAAACATGCCAGAAGAGGCCACTGTATTGAATATGTTAATGCAAAGTAACCAAACACCGCAAATGAAAAGTGAGAATGCAGCCCAAGCTTCTGTTCCCTGGAATTTGGGGGAGAAACTTCAGAATCAGCAGGAAGATGTGACTTTAATACAATGCCCCCCAGAGACCTGTGTATTTCAGGAAGCTATTTTTGTGTGAAGATAAAACAATTCTATGTTTCTGAAAGAGTCTCGGCTAAAACTAACTCAGAGAATTGTGATAGAGCTTAACTTGTTGGTCAAGGGAGTACTGTGACCAAAAAATAGAATATAATTCAGAATAAATAAAAGCAAATTACAAAGGACAAGCAAGCAGGACCAAAGAAAAGAAGACAGAAAACTTGTAGGAAATGTTTTAATGAATCAAAGCTCTCTGCCCCAAAGGCAACATCAATCTCTGTGGCCATTTCGTTTGGGGATGGACAATGAGAAAGTCAAATCTAAGCTGAAATTGGTTCTACCTGTGGAGGCAGCCATTTCAAATTCTGGTTAGGTCAGCTTACTAACAACCAAGATGGCAACGAAAAGGCCTAAGAAAGTGGCTAAGGATATGATGGAAGAAAGTTCAAAATGAATGCATGGCTAGTGTGAAAGATACAAAACGGGGATTTATTTAATCCGGATGGAAGAATGAACATAGTGTTCAATTTTCTAAAGTATCTGATTGCTCTGTTATGACTGAGGAGTTTTCTATGAAACTATGGAATCAGCAACAAACCCCATTCTCAACACCCTCCTATCCCCAAGTTAAAGGATGAGAGTGTGAGGCATGTTATTACATACTTCACATACATTAATTTCAATTGCATATTTGTACTTACTATGCTCCCACTATATGTGTCATTTTGCCACCAAAAGATGTAGGTATTCATTCTAAGATGAGCAAACAGTCTTAGAATATTACCTCTTTCACAGTAAGACGCGGCAATGACATAATATCACCATTTTTAGAGCTACATTGCCCGTGCTTCGGCTGTCCAAGGCTGCTAACTCTCAGAAGTAGACTTATAGATAGATGTCCTCTCGTGGAGGAAGCCATCAGCTGCATATTAGGATTTTAACCATCGATTTAAGTTACGGAAACTTAGGTCAGGCATCAGTAAATGTCCTGAGTACCTGTTGTTGGCCATCACTGTCCCGGGGCCAGGGGACCCATAAAGCAATGTGGAATGGTCCTTGTCCTCAGAGAGAGCTACTTGGCACGTTTGCTAGTTGGTGGTGCTGTTCCACATGGAGGTGGCTCCCAGTACAGTGGAAAGAGCCCAGGACTGGGAACAGGAACCCCAGGGTGTGGTCCCACTTCTAATAACTAGCTATGTGCGCGCTGGGTGTCATCGGTGTGGGCTTCATCTGTAAAATAGGACAGTGACTAATAGATCCTGAAGGTCCTTCTGGCCTTAAATGTTCCGATTTTTTTCAGCTTTCAAATAGTTCTGGAAAAGAAGGGTAGGCCCTTTAAGAAATGAGTTCTAGCCCGGCTGGCATGGCTCAGTGGTTGAGGGTTGAATTATGAACTAGATCATGGTTTGATTCCTGGTTTGGGCACATGCCGGGTTTCAGGCTTGATCTCCAGTAGGGGGAGTGCAGGAGGCAGCAGATCAATGATTCTCTCTTCATCATTGATGCTTCTCTCTCCCCCTCTCCCTTCCTCTTAAACACACACACACACACCACCACCACCACCACCACCACCACCACCACCACCACCAATAAAACCCCACAAAACAAAAAACACCACCACCAACAAAAAACAAGAAAGAAAGAAAAGAAATGAGCATAAAGAGACTGTGCATGTTCATAAAAATGTGTTCGTATTGGTGGCTCCACTAAGCCAATTTTGCGCTATTTAGTTACTGGTAAGTGGAGGGAGGGGAAGGACAGTAGGTCTGGTTGCCAAGGAACCACCTAAAAAGTCCATCCCAGGTGGACATGCCCTGTGGATAGGTGCATGCTGGCTGGTCAGGTCTCTCCTACCAACAGAGAACCATGCACAGAGGACAAAGGCCACAAAGGCAGGACCTCCCTCCCTCTCCTTCATTTTTCTCAAATGAAAATGGCCAGAGAATGAGTAGGTGTGCAGGATAAGGCCAGGGGCTTTCCCAGTGCCAGTCCAGAGGAATCACACATGGCCTTAACAGCTGGGAATTGGGACCAGCAATAGAAGAACAGGTGACATCAGGGCATTGATGCCAAAAACACTCATGACTTCAAAACAGTCAAGTAAGGAAAACCAGGGTTGGATCAAATAGACAAACATATCAGCTGAATATTTACAACATGTAGGGGTCGCCCCCAACACAGCATGTATAGCAAGACTCTTTCTTCGGCTCCCAGACTCTCCTCTATGTTAGGGCCTTAAAACAGAGTTGAAGATGCAGCTCCATTTGAAGTCTAAGTGTGACACTGACTGTTGCATGTGCTTTTAATGCATTTTAAAAAAATTGATTTTAGAGAGGGAAAGGGAGAGGAAGAGAGAGAAACACTGAATGGCTGCCTCCTGCATGCCCCCTACTGGGGATCGAGCCTGAAACCTGAGCATGTGCTCTGACCAGGAATCAAACTGGCAACCTTTTGGTGCAGGGACGACACTCAACCATCTGAGCCACACCAGCCAGGGCTGTTGTATGCAGTTTAATAGACCTGGAGAGTTCTTTGTACCTGGGGAGCCCATCTTTTCAGACATTGTGCCGAGTTTAAGCAACCAGGCACTTAACTCCTAGGCGCCAAGGGCTGGGAGGTCCCCGTAATTGTAAAAACTGGACCATATAAAGGAATCCTAGGGAAGCAGGGAGGAGGCTGGAGGGAGCCGATATATCCCGCCTACTGGATCCCACAGATCGAAGGAAGTGTCTGCCTGCCGGCCTCCCTCCCGGAACTCCTTGAGAGAAGACCCTGCTTTCTGAAGACCGCCCCGCCCCCAGCCTGAGCTGGACTCTGCCTGGAGGTGTAAGAAATCGTCATCTCTGGCGTCCTTCTTTTCTGGCCACTCTTTCCCCGGACTCTATCCTTTCTTGGGAGGTCATGTGACAAAAACTTGATCTGCTTCCTGTGAATTTGAATCTTTGAGGGGCCACCCACCTAAAGAGAAAAGAACTATTGCAGTGTGAAATTTCTTTCTACCCGACTTTCCTTTCCATCCAAACATTAATATTTACATGTTTACATTTATTTACCTTCTGCTCTACAAGTTTTACTCTAATTAAGCAAAACTTAAGGACTCTAGCTCATTATGTTTGTTTTCATGTTTGAAAAATAGGGTCTTTTGCCGAAACCGGTTTGGCTCAGTGGATAGAGCGTCGGCCTGCGGACTGAAAGGTCCCAGGTTCGATTCCGGTCAAGGGCATGTACCTGGGTTGCGGGCACATCCCCAGTGGGAGATGTGCAGGAGGCAGCTGATCGATGTTTCTCTCTCATCGATGTTTCTAACTCTCTATCTCTCTCCCTTCCTCTCTGTAAAAAATCAATAAAATATATTTAAAAAAAAGAAAAATAGGGTCTTTGAGTGGTTACAGGCACTATGTGGGCACCCCTGGAGGCCGCATGGCCATGCTTGGGTGGCTCCAGCCTCCAGGCTACTTTGGGCTTCTTACGAGAAATTGGGAATAAGATCAGAAAAATACAACCTAGATCTGCAATAGCTGTCCTTTCATATCCGAGGAACCAAGAGTACCAAGTTTTGTAATTACTTGCAAAGTGAATGGCAGAGTTTGAAACATGTTAACAGTGGGGGACAGGAACATAAAACTCAAAATTCAGGGAAGGAAGGGGAGAAGGCAGTGCCGACCGCTCATTCCCTTTCACCCCCAAGAGGACAGCAGTTGGAAGAATAAGATTGGTTTTGTGTGTGCTGGGGAAGGAGACATAGTCAAACTCCATTGTGTTAGGATTTATTTCTATGATTGGTTTTAAGCCCACAAAGACACCGATGAGTTTGACTTTACAGATATCACAAGGGTAAATATTAAACTGT